TCTTCTCCAAAAGGCCTCTGAACTGAAATTATTCTCAGTAGAACTCTATTTCTGTTCTTTTCATTGTCACTCTCCACCAGGAGGTGCTTCATGGAAGGAAAAATCAGTCAACACTTAACATGCCACCTATTGTCCACTACCATCTAGGAAGTGGAAAATTAAACTAGAAAACTAAATTCCCAGATGACCCAGTTATGAAGGAAATACTAAGAAGGACATTTTGGGTGGTTTGTTCAAGTTTCTAATGAATAAGACAGCTGATTACTCAATTGTGAGTAAACCAAATTAAAGTATAAAGGCTGTGTCTGTTCTTATGCCTTGAGTGTTTTAAATCAAATTATTCATTGAGTGGAATCTCAGCCTGTTAGCTGATCTACCACTATAAGAGCAACTCGTGTATTTAGTGAGTCCTCTGAAGAGTCAAATGTGTCTGATACAAGCAGTGACACTCTCAGGTCTGTCTCTAGACTCATAGCAGAGAGGGTAACATGCACACACAGGTATGTGGAGCCACTAGGCCACGGCTGCCTTTGATGGGAAGGAGAGGTCTAGTGCCGTTCCTTTTCCCTAAGGAATCCTCTTCCAAACCATGGGAAGATGCAAAGTATGTCCCAGTGCATCAGCCTTGATTTTCGTATGATAATCTATTGTTTGAGGGATAATTCTCAGAGGCCAGAGGAATCCAGAAAAGATTTGCCTCGAGACCTAACTATGTAGCAAAAATAGAAATTTCCTTAGAGGTTTACATTCCACGTTCTGTACGAACCATCTTCAGCCTGACATTTTCTTCATCCTTGGGGCACAGATTAAGACATTGCATCCTCACTTGCTCCTATACTTATGATTATGCAACAGAGAATTTTAAAAGAAATCGTGGGAAATGGAACAATAATGACATCAATAAGCAGAAATCTCAGATGTAGTATTACAATGTCATGTGCTCTGTGAGCCTGTGACTTTGGGCCGTCACATCTCCTTCCCCACCTAAGACAAAGAAATAAAAATGAAGGATTTGCACAATGAAAGAACTTTTAAATAATCTTGCACCCATTCGCTCAAGTCTTGTGTTCTCCCTTATTAATTTGAAAAGGGTGAGTAGGGTGGTTTATGTTCCCTTGAATTATACTTTATGGATGTGGTCCTCATTGACCACCTCTATTGCACCACTAGATCTCGAGGCCAATATTTCCCTCCCTCCTGAATGCCAGAGAAAGCAAGAAGAGAGCCAGCAGGGCAGCCAGCCTTTATCCATCATGCTGCTTTCAGTGGGAGCCTCGCCTAGCCTGTCCTTGCACAAGCTCACTGTTCACCTCTTCTCCTGTACCTCTACACTTTCTCGCTTCTCCCACCATGAATATTTCAAATCTTCCCAAGTGTTATTTTTATAGTGTATTAAAATCCGTTCGGTAATTCTTGCCAACTACCAATGACCACCATGTTACTTCTCACCAAATTTTTCTCCCCAGCACACACAATCCTTTAAAAATATGAGTTGAGGGCGCTCCCTGGTGGCGCAGCGGGTTAAAACACAGCACTAAGAAGCTAAAGCCACTTCAGCATGAGTTCGATCTCCCCACCGGAGATGACCCACATGGCGCGGCAGACCTCTCCTGACCCGCCCGCTGCCCTCTCAGCAGTGTACTTCGTGGATCAGTCTGTTCTGCTCCCCTCTCTGTCTCTGGTGAATCCTCTTACCGCCCCTGCACCTCTGGCCTGCACCCCAGTTCTGCATGCATGCATAAATAAATCTTTTCAAAAAATAAAAATAATTGAGTTGAGTATAGAACATCCAAATACTCTAATGATTACTCAGGCATCAGCCTCTCATCTAATGATAGAGCATATTCTTTTGAACTTTCTTCCTTTATGGGCTACCCACAAAAACTTAGTCTGACTACTTGCCTGTAATGTCATTCCTGCTTCAGTAGAGATATGGGTCCTGGGAACCAGAGCAGAACTCAGTAACCATTGACAACTGAGCTCCCTCCTAAAACTCACACCATACAGGATAACACATGACTGGCTTCACTACATCAAAGGCTCTAGCCCTGTGGCCTGGTGAGCTCCTGGACCCCCAGAGAAGTGGCATTACTGTCCCATCCACACACAAAAATACATGATTGATTTTCTCTCTTCTGTCACAACAATAACAATGGCTGATGTGGAATGAAGGCAAGAGAATAAATTACTTGAAATGATTTCCCTTGCAATCATCTTGTATTTCCCACCCTGGTTACAATTTGGCTAATTGTTTAATAATTCCATTTAAATGTCTCCATTTAAACAGTTCAGTAAACCTGCTTTTTCTAGTTAGTATTTTCTTTTTTTCTCTTGAGTGTCCTCTGCCCTGTCTCCCATTCATACTTTGGTCTGAATGACATTCTGATGACATAAATAGCATTCCTTCAAAAAAGTATTCAGCACATTGTCTCTCTGTTCCAGAGACCAAGTTCTGTAATCTGTGTCCTTGAAACAGTTTCTGCATTTGGGAAAGATCTATGACTGTGTCTTTAAAAAGTCAGCCTCTTCTAGGAGGAATGTAGAAAAACCAAGTGAGGAATTGGGGTGTAGGTGCAGGGGAGTAACTATAATAAAGTAAAAATCAAAGTCATCAGTCAACTAGTCATCAGAGACATTCTATAGGGGAGGCGAAGGGAGAAGGACCAGGACAGGGTGGGAAGAGCAGCAGGGACCATGGTGCAGGTACACGAAGGAATTGGTGGTAGGAATTTCACGGGGAAACCATACATTGTACAAAAATGGAGGCTGATGAAATAAATATATTTTAAAGAAAAGGTAGCCCCCCTACCAGGCAAATAAAGCACTGGTCACTGGAAATCCTAGCTGCTGTTGGTGGGGTCTGCTGTTCTTGACAGAGTAAGAGGCTGCCTGAGAAAGAAGAGCCCAAGCTCAGCCTCCAGGAGCTGCAGCCTAACTGGCAGCAGGGAAATTCAACTCAGGGGCACATGCCCAAATTAGTATAATATTCAGGTTAAACCTGTGTTCAAAACAGAGGCCTTCTCAGGACATAGCAGCCTGCTGGGTTGCCCACAACACATACCTGCTTGGTAGGAACATGCACCCAGGTGGGTTCTGCTTCAGGGGGCCAGTGGGCTCCCCGCAGATGCAGCTGTGTGATGCAGCCTCTCCAGCAAAGGTCAGGTAAGCCAGGCTACTAAACAGGCTCTTGTGTTTGATGTTAATCTTCCCTCCTCTATCCTACCACCTAAAAAGATTTCCAATGTTACTTATGGGTTTTTACTGAAATGATGCTTTTAGTACCCAACTTTCTAACTTTATAATCACTTCAGCCAAATGCCCACCTCTCAAAGAGCACCAACACACTCCTTCATGTATTTGGAAGCATGAGAAAGGAATGAGGAACATTACAGTTACAGAGAAAAGGCCTAGAGCTTCCATCCTGAAACATTCTCAAGCTGGTAAGAATCAGAAGTGACTTACTCAGGTGACAGCTAATAGAGGAAGAGACCAAATGGCAAGTAGGAAACCAGAGACTATGAAATCAGATATAAGGCATTAGAGGAGAAGGGATTGGGTTTCCCAGAGTCAGATAGAAAGGATAGCACATTAATTCGGAGTTCATAGAATGCCACATTATAAAATAAGACTTGTCTTAATACAACTATATGAGCAAATCACCACTGGGAGGTGGTGGGTATGATTTGCTAGTGAAAAATTAACTAGGGACTGGTATTACCCAACCAGAGACAGAATGGGATCAGCTCAGGTCAGCCATGAGGTGCTTCATTTGGAGGTCTCTTTGAGACTAAGATGCCATTGTTTTCCTGCTTTTCTACATCATTTAAGTGAGATCAAGGCTGATGGAATGGTTCTGAAAAACAATGGAGAAGAGCAGTCTGTCCTCCAGGTGACATGGGAAACTGCTTGATAGCTAATGCCTACCCAGACCTTTTTGCAATTCTCTGGGTGAAAGCAAGTTAGAAAATGTAAGATGACATCAGTCCAAACACTAATACCTGACAATGTGTACACAGCCTGAAACTGTCCAGCATGAACCAGGCCTCTGGGTTCTAATGGATCTGTGTGCATAATTGATTCTTATTTATTGCTCTTAAAACGCTACTCTGAGCTGCTTTGGAATTTCAAACAATGTCCTGAAAGAATTATAACCACACATGGAACTACTGCTCAGTCATGTATTTCTAACTTTGTCTTTTTTTTCCTGAGTAGTTTGACTTTCTTTTACAACTTTTCTTATTGAAGATCTAGACATTTCTTTGAGCCTTTGACTTTCTGTAAATGTTGGCACATTTAGTCTGGGTGCTACTGCCTAAGGAAACCATAGATAACTGTAATAGTAAAGACAGTGGTATCCATTGTGCTTGCCATTAGAAAAGACCATTCCAAGTATTTCACCTGTACAAATCACTCCATTCTTGCCGCAATATCATGAGGTAAGTGCTGCTGTTAGACCTACTTACAGATGGGGAAACTCAGACACAGAATGAGGAGATACTTGTCCAGGGTCACACAGCTATTTAGTGGCAGAACCAGCTATGACCCTTCAGGCTAACCCTCAGGGCTGTGCTTTTTGTCACTGAGCCAGCAAGCATCTCTCTGCACATTGTGAGTGAGATGCCCAGGAATGACATTGTTATTTTCTTTTTTTAGATTTATTTATTTATGCATACAGAACTGGGGTACAGGTCAGAGGTGCAGGGGTGATGAGAGGATTCACCAGAGACTGTGGGGAGCAGAACAGGCAGATAGATGATGTACACTACTGAGAAGAGCAGCAGGCGGGTCGGGAGAGGTCTGCCGCGCCATGTGGGTCACCGCCGGGACTGGGGATCGAACTCGAGATCAAACTCGTACTGAAGTGGCTTAGCTTCTTAGTGCTGTGCTTTAACCCATTGCGCCACCGCATTGTTATTTTCAATCTTTAAAACTAAAGTGTGAACTCTCAATTTAATTTGTTTTACCTTTAACCATTCTGTTTTTCCCTCCCAAACTCTCAGATGATGGAAATGCTTAACCTGAGGTAGTGTGAGACCACACCATGTAAGTGTGAGCATGGCCCCCATGGGTGCCGCTATGCTGTGCGCTTCCGCCCACCATTCCCGCATGTTTGCTCTGCTCTTCTCTGATTCCCGCTTCCGCCGCTTGGCTCTTGCGCCGCATGAACCGTCACTTTTAAGCCATAGATCTTATGTCTTTGTTCCTGATTTTATATTTGTGCTTCTTTCTCCCACGATCTCGGCAACATGGGTAAGAGCCAGAGCAGCTGTCGGGGAAGGAGCCGGGGAAGGCATTCTGTTCTTGTTCTCCAACAATGAGCCCTCAGAGGGTCAGCTTTTAGGATTCTAGGCACGTGTCCACATCTCACTGCTACAGACCACGCCAAGGTGTGGAAACGTGCGTGGGCCTCTCTCTGCAGACCCTGGCCACCTGTGTGCACCTGGGCTATCCTGGAGCCAGCAGCCTCAACAGATTATTGCTCCAGAGTCTTTGTAAGAATAGGCACTATGTGAAAATAGATACCATTGTGCACTGAAAGCCAAGATGACAGGTGGCGGAGGAGGGGTAACCTCATTTATTGATTATTTTCTCTGTGGATGTGCATATGACACTCACACATACATATACTGAATAGACCCAAAAATAGTGAAAAGGATACTGATTGGTAAGTCAAATGCTGTCTATAATGGCCTTTTACTGTTTACACACACACACACACACACACACACATCTTTTTTGATATTTCTTGACTCTGTGTAAACTGTCCACTTTGAGTGAATTCAATAAGTGATCAATTAGATTTAAAGAATAAGTAAATGGGAGAGAAGGAATTTTCGCCTACCAAAGAACGCACTGGGAACACAGAGAATATGGCCATTTTACCAATGTACAGCCTTCCTCTACCTGACTGTGATGATGAGAGTTTTAAATTGAAGGGCCTTCTATGAGCTATAACTGAGCACTATTCCGCCCTCTGTGGTATTGATGTCTCCCATCCCCCTACCCCCACACATCACTTAGATGCACAGATTTCTGGAGCTGAAGTCCTTGGAAATGGATCATCCACACCAAATCCTTTAATTCATAGAAAATGACTGAGGCCTCCAAAGGGGAAATAAAGCACAGCATGGAGCAGAGCCTGGATTAAACCCCAGTGCTCCCTTTTCCATTAAAGTATCTGTTATGGTAGTGTCCCTGCTCATTTTTCCTGGGGAGACAACTCTGGGCATAGCCAGAAGAGCTTTTGAGGAGTGAAAGTAAAGGGGTCTATATCAAAAGAACAGGCCCCAGGGTATCTAAGAACTTAGGAAAATTGCTATGCTTTTGGACCTTAAACTTCTCATCTATAAAATGGATTGGTGCATAGCTGATTTCAAAATGTTCATAATGCTAAGTTTGCTCACTAACCTTGGGCTGTTGTTCATGCAGTTTCATCGCACCAGTGTTTATTTCTCACCATCGGATTATGGAAAAAATTATAGTCAGGTAGTGTGAATGGGGCATCCTAAGGGAATAAGAACCCTGTCTGTCTCTGTTATACATCAGGACAAGAGCAGGAGCGAGAAGGTACAGAAGGGAAGCCAGTAGCCTGCTACCCCGTACATGGGTCTGTGAGACAGGTGGGCGAGGCCAACTGCAGGTTTGGTCACACATATATGCCAATTTCTGCAATTTGTGGTTAACCCACTTGTATCTGCTTTTGCCCTTCCCAAGAACCCACTGACTAAAGTCCTAGAACTTAAGAAGAACCAGTAGTAAATGAAATTGTGACTTTTCAGTGTATTGCTTTGAGTTTACAGGGTTAGACAAGGTTCTGAGGCTGTCTTAATGAGACCTTAAGGGCAAGAGGCCCACACATGTGTTTCTAGCATAGATTGGAGATGTACCCCTTGTTTACATAAAATTGTGGAAACATACATATTAATCATATATGCAATGCTATTATTTTTGCATAGAACTAGGGTGTTTTCAGAGGTTCAGGGGGGGTGAGAGGATTCAGCAGAGACAGAGTGGGGAGCAGAACAGGCAGATTTCCTGCAAGGGAAGCAGCCAGCGAGCCAGGAGAGGTCTGCTGCCCACATGGGTCAACTCCCCCGCTGGAGATCGAACTCATTTCTCAATGACTGGCGATAACTTGATAGTGCTGAGACTTAACCCCTTTGGCCACCAGGGAGGCCGCCTGAGGAATTATTTTAATAAAGCAAGGAGTCCTCACTTGACCTAACATTTTGGACCATTTTCACTCCACATATCAGATTCAGCTTAAAATGTAACGTTTTTATAATAGCCCATCTCGTCTGCTGCAGCCTTCCTGAAATTTGATGTTGATTCAAAGTGGGAAGAGCAGAACAGAATATGGGGAGATAGGGGGAATCACAGAAGTGGAAAATGTGTGCATTTCTTCGGTTATTTCTAATAGGCTGGACAAAATAGTCATGCGAGGAGCTTGGTGACCTCAGAAAGTCATACTGACATAGAGTTTCAGCTCAGAATTTTGGTGAAGTCAGGACTTTAGGCTGGATCGTTTGTACAAGGGAACTTTTAAAGTTTCATTTTCAAGGCATGTCATATAAAATTTCAAAAAGGCCATGTTGACATGGCATTTGACCACTGGAACATGTCACTTGGAGAGGGAAGTTGTTGGAAATGATGGCAAAGGCCTGCCAGCCCCTTCTTCAAACGTCATTTCCCTGGTGTTACCATTCCTTCTCCTGGTACACAACTGTAACGCTGTTTAGGGAGGAAAATCACTTCCTTGGACAGCCACACAGTATCCTCATGTTGAGGATGCTGGACAGAGACTGACATCATGAGTTCTTCATCTTACATTTCCCTTTGCCAGAGAACCCCCAACACAAGTCAGTCAGAGGGGTGGGAGGGCTTTTTAGGTTCAGCCACGTCCTTTTGGCCCAGTACTAGAAAACTCATTGTCCTGCTGAGACCCCTAGTGGCCATATTGGTAACTGCAGCTGTCAGAGACTAGAAATCCAAGGTATCATGATGGGCAGCCCCTAACCCAAAGCCAAGAAGGGCCCACAGTGGTCTGTGGAGGTCTTAGCCTGCAAACACTTTGTAAGTGGAAGGAAGGTAGTACTTGTGGCTTAAGACTCCATAGGACTGGTGGCCTGTTGCTTGTTGAATATGCCCCATAAAACAGCCAGTCTTTTCCAGTCTTTTGACTTGTTAATTATTCTTTTGTGCTTTTAATTATTCCAGCTTACTTTTGGGATTTACTGTGGAGTGCTAGATTTGACCAGTTTTTCATGTCTTGCCCTAGAACAAGCCTGTAACCCTGTTTTTACTTGAAATCAAACTGAGCTCCTCACAGTCTGAAGAATCAACCTGATTATCTGACTTGCACACCATTTGCTCCCTGAAGGCAAATTCCCTGCATAGACCAGTAATGGCTCCAGGGAGCCTGGGGCCTGAATTGCTTCCCCTGACATCACTTCCCAGAGAGAGAGAAAAGAGCCCTCTTCCCTCCCTCCCGCCCACACTGTGATCCTCAGGTCTTCCTGAGAACAGTAAGTAGGTTACTCATGACTGACACAAAACTAAATTGTTTTAATTGTTCTAAATCAGTGGCTGGCAAAATGTGGTTCCCAGACTGGCAACATCAATATCACCCAGGAACTTGTGGAAGATGCAGGTTCCCAGCTTCTGCCCCAGACCTATTCAAGCAGAATCCTGGCAGTGTGGACCAGCCATCTGTTTTTACAAGCCCTCCCACCCCCACTGCTGCAAGCATTAATCAAGAGTCTGTATATACTGGTTTACAAACTCTCAACTTATTTAAAATGTAGGTTCTGCCCCCCAACACACACACAGAGAGAGAGAGAGAGATGCTATGCCAGAGATTTGCTGGTAGAGATACAGAAATATGATTTCTTAAACCATTCTTCTCTTCCCTGCAGTTCTGATATGGGAAATGCAAAGGCAACCATTTTTGATAAATTCTGCTCTAGAAAGAGCAAGACCATCTTTGCTAGTCCAATTTAGATTAGTATCCTTTCTTGAATTAAAAGTTAGTATTGTCCTGTAGCTCATTGAGATATATTCATATATCTCAGTAAGTATATCAAAGTACTCAGGTGTTAGGAATGGCACATTGTTCCCTTAACAAATTAGTTTTTGCTGCCACTCTGAGGAACATCTCAGTGAGTATGTATCAATATTCCAAAGGTGAAGGCTTCCTCTGGGTAGATATCAATTACATAGAGAACAGGCAGAACGGGAAGCCGGTGGCTTCTTGTGAGTCTGGATCTACAAGAGCCAGCCCAAGAGGCATGTGTCATGTCTGGGCTGTGAATCCTCTAGACAGCAGGTTTCCCTTTCTTCTCCCTTCTTGAATAATTAGAGATTTAGTAGTGATTTCCCAACAGGACCCAAGAGCCTAGCTCATTAAAATACTACTGTGCAGAAAGGGTTTTCAAAAGTTAAAATTTTAAGTACGCTTGACTGTGCAGCCTCTGCATTGATCACCCCCAAAAAAGAGAGATCATTTTTGTGAAGATTCTTGAATGCAAAGTCTGCATTCCTATGCACACAACTTTGGACCCCACTGTGATCTCCAGCAGGAATTTGCTATTGTTTTTCTTCAGTCTCATCTAAGCCCTCCTACAGTTCTTTTCACACCTCCCCTGCCTCAGGGTCTTCTCAGAGCGCCCACACATTCTCTGGGCACTAATTCACTGGGATGTTCTCCCAGAAGAATAAGCAGAGTCCCATTGGCAAGAGCCTGACAGGACACTGGCTGACTCAGCGCTGAGGCTCCTGTCGCCCCCTGCAGTCTCAGCAGCGTCCAGGCATCAGACCTAGAGAGGCAGCATTGCGAGGTCCTGTTGCAGAGTGAAGAAAAGCTGGATCCCTGCCTCCATTTTCCTTTTCTCCTGCCTTGCCTTGTGCCTTCTCTCTATCTTCTTTATCAATTTTTCATACCCCCCTTCCTCTATCAAATGCTCCCATGCCTATATTGTCTATCCTTTCATGACTTGCACTGGCATTTTCTCTCCCTCTCTCCTTTCTTCTTATTAATATGCCCA